ATTCACCCCCCCTTTAGGGGTAGTCCCCTTATAACCCCCTTTTTTATTTTAAAAGAGTTAGGTGATGTTTTCCGTGTGTTGGGGTTATCCCATATAGCCAGTGTTGCCAATTTAGCACTTTTAGTGCTAGATTTAGCACTTCTTGAACTCGTTTAGCACCAAAAAAATTGATCTAGCACCTAGCACTTTTTTTAGCATTTTTAATTTCTTAGGAATTTTTTACAAAATTTTGGTTTTAATACAAAAAATCCCGTTTTTCGATTTAATGTTTAATTTTCGCTATGTTTCAAGCGATGAATTTGATTTTCCAATGCTATCCAGCACTATGATATTGTCAGACTATGATATTGTCTGTTGGTAGACTGTTTATTTGGGAAAATGAAAAATCAAATTAAGTTGTACATTTTATAAGAGCGATGTAAAAATAATGAAAATGAATTATGTTGGAGCTTTCTGAAAACAAGTTTTTTATTCAGCGGGAATCCCGAATGCCAAGTTATAACCACTTTAGATTACCGAAAAGGCGATCATACCCATTTATATTGGGATTGTGCCAGAATAAGGACCAAAATAAAAAAATTCCGGCAAACATATTTTTTTTAAGTTGCTGTTGAGAATGAGATTATGAACCCTTAAAAGTACACAAATGGGACGAAAATTGATAATCTTCATATTTGTACGCAATGTGAAATTACAGTTATTTACCTTAACCTTAATTGGGGGTACCGTTATGCCCGAAAAAATTGACCCATATTTATAATTTTTTGCGGAGAGATTTGCTACCCAATAAGAACTCAAAGTACTAAATTACACCCAATTCGGTCAAAACCACCCAAAAACTGGAAATTGGGAGGTACCCTTATATGGGGGCAACCAGAAAAAATGGACCTATATTTATAATTTTATGTAAGGAAATTTGGTACCCAATAAGAACTCAATGTACCAAATTTCAGCGAATTCGGTTGAAAACCGCGCTCATGAATCCTAAACTACCGAAAATTGGGGGGTACCCTTATATGGGGGCTACCCGAAAAAAATTGACCTACATTTATAATTTTTAATATAGAGATTTTTTACCCAATAAGAACTCAAAGTACCGAATTTCAGCAAATTCGGTCGAAAGATGCGATCAAACCCTCCCCCAAAATACCGCAAAATTGGGGGTACCCTTATATGGGGGCTATCCGAAAATATGGACCCCTATTTATAATTTTTAGTGGAGATATTTGCTACCCAATAAGAACTCAATGTACCAAATTGTCCTTAGACGAACAGACGGATATGGCTATATCGTCATAGAATTTAACGGTGATCAAGAATATATGTGCTTTATAGGGTCGGAAATGATTATTTCGATGAGTTACAAACGAAAAATAAAATTAATATACCCTCCATACTATGGTGAAGGGTATAAAAATGTGCTTAAAAGCTTAAAAGAAATATTCAATATCATTTTCAATATCAAATCTCATAGAAGTAGTACCAACGTATGTGCAAAATTCCAAAGCTCTGTCTTCAATATTGCAACCTCAATGCGACGGACATGGCTAAATCGACAACGAATAGCCGTTAAGAATAAATGGGGTTTCTGATTAATGTTTCATTATTAAATATTAACAATTTTGTTCTAGAAATTTTTAGCACTTTTTTCTGGCACTTTTTTAAATTATTTAGCACTTTCTAGCATTTTTTTCAACAAAATCTAGCATTTTTCCTCAACAAAGTTTTGGCAACACTGCATATAGCTGTATTCCACCATAGTAGGGGGGATATTCGTTAGACGAAATTTTCAGTTCATACCCCACATAGTATGATATTCTAAAACGATTTAATCGATTTAGCCATATGTTGTAATCATTTTTCTCTCGGAGGATATCGACATAAAAAACTAAAATGTGAGGTTTGATAATGAACTGTATTAATATTTAGCGTAATGGGCGGTATTGGGGTTCAAAACTAAAATATTTCCTTGGAACTTGAGCTACATCGGCGCTTAATTTGGCCTAACCCCTTATATAATGAAAACACCAAGTAGTTGCTAATTCCTACACAATGTTGCCAATATTGGTCCCGCTTTAGTATGCCTCATATATAATATTGCCCTATAAATTGTAGTATTTTCAGGATTTTATACACATGTTTCACCGTACCATGCGTTAATAATATATGTCAACATTTTAGGTTTTAGGAAAACCCCCATTGAAATTGCTGAATTTTATATTTGGTTTACAACAATCGATTGGAAGAATTGTCGTTATATGTATATTCCCTATGTTTAAATTCCAAAAATTTGTCAGTATTTCTATGGTGGAGGGTATCCAAAGTTCGGCCCGGCCGAACTTAACACTTTTTTACATGTTTTATTTATGTCGTTCTTGGAGCAAATCTGCGGTATATTGAATTCTGCATATACATTATATTCGCCTACAGAATAGCTGCTGTTTTAATTATAATTTTAAGAAAAAAGAGTTTATTTGCAAAAAAGTGAAAAAAAGTTAACTTCGGCCGGGCCGAACTTTGGATACCCTCCACCACAGGTGTATAAACAGTTACTTGACATGAAAGTTCCAACCCCACATAGTTAAAAACTCGGATGTAATTAAAAATCTTTAAGATTTTGTGATAGGGGATATTAAACATAAACGAGACTATGTAAACAATGTTTGCAATGATATCACACTATTAGGTTGGGTAAAGTTGGGTTCAAATCGGACATTCCATTATCCATGATGGATTTATAATTATTGAAACTGTTGACCCTCTGTAGGGGAGGTACCAGAAGGAGTGGACCAATGGGTCCCATCTTCCTACTTAATCTAGGATTGGTAAAGATAATAGGTTGTACAAAGTTTCGTTACAATCGGATAGTCCGTTTGCATGTTATTTTAAAATTAATTTTTAGCATAATTTTGACCATTTTTGGGGGCGTTACCAGAAGGTGTGGACCGATATTCCCCATCTACGAACTTAACTAAGTTTGGAAAAAATATTAAGATGTGCAAAGTTTGGATGAAAAAGATTAAGATTATATATATTGTTCCTTAAAGAGTCAAATTTAGGCCGATTGGCACAAAATTGTCTAAAATTAGGTTACCCTAACGTTAATAATTTTTAGTGAAAACATTTGGTAGTAATAAAAACTCATTATACCAATTTTCAGCGAATTCGCATACTAGCGTGCTCAAGAAACCCAAAATATTAAAAATTTGCGGTACCCCTATATGGGGGCTATGCCTAAACGTGGACCGATATAGCTCATCTTCGAACTTTACCTGCCTGTAGACAAGAGACAACTCCTTTCCTTTAGAGGCTATAATAATTACAATAGACAGACGGCAGGCGGATTTATAATTACTCTGATCAAAATTATATATACTTTATAGGCTCGGAAATTATTATTTAGTTGAGTTACGATATAACTTGCGTAGATACGGCATATTCTGCAGTTATACCATATCTACGCAAGTTATATTTATTTACCATATTTTGTTCGTAAGCGACTTGCTTTTGCCTTGTTTATGTCTCGCATTAGCTACTGCCTTGAGGTAGTTTCTGGTAGCAGTCAAGAGAAGTTGAAGAAAATTGAGAAATTTTACAATATGGTTCTGCTCTTAGTTACAAATTACCATGTTACAAATTATTCATTGCGGTTTCTGGGTGTACCGTTTAATATTTACATTGACCTACTGCGTAATAATATCATGTTTTCTTATTCCACGCGCAATACATAATTACAAATTCCTTGTTTTACCTCTTTAATGTTTGAACGATCATTTACGGTTAGAGTTGCCCGACTCTGGAATCAACTTCCTTCAGTTAACATTTAGACACAGATCACATATATAATTTAGTCCAATTTCAAGTCAATGGCCCTTCAAAAATGCCGGGTCGGTTACGATGAATCTCTTGAGTATAGCCAAAGGGGTAAAGGGTATCATATAGCCCCGTCCGACTTTTCTACTTTCCTTACTGGTTTTCTATGTACACACAATGTTGCAAAATATGGCTGAATAAATGTTATTAAAATCAGGTTTTCGTGTAGATGTCCTGTTAATATTTATGTATTATTCATATCTTCTCTTACATATTGATCGATCATTACTAAAAATAATAGAGGTCTTTCTTGGCCACAACCGGTCCTACATGCCAAATTCGCGACGATGGGGAATTTGTGATAACTGGGACCAGATATTGTGTTTACAAATTGTAATGGACGGACCTAACAGCAATATTTCGCGAAAAAGGGATGCTTTAAAAAATAATCCTCATTTGATTTAACTGCAGAAATCATTTGATTTAACTGAAATGTTCGATTAAAACACTATATAGGTCTCCAATATAGTAGTCCCTTTCATAATTAAGTATTTTTAAGATCTCAATATAATTAAGTTCACACCTAAGCTGTATATAAATATGTAGCATATAAAATATTATTTAAGTTTATTTCTTAGTAAATTAGTTTTTACAAAAAAAAAAAAAAAAAAAAATGCTGTGTATACGCGTTGTTTTTGGCGGCAAATCTTATTATATACATTTACCTTAACTTCACTGGTGTTTGATGTTTTTTTTTTCATATACAAAAAAAGATGGTAAAAGGGTATTATTTTCACTTTTCACATTGCATGTTTCTCCTAACTAACCACAATACTTTAACCATATACAAAACAAACAAATTTTCCAAACAAAAAACAAATTCATAAGCTTTAAAATGCTTTCACTTGTTCTATTTCTAGGGTAACCAAAAAAGAAAAGCAAGACAGACAGAAACAAAGAAAACAAAATACTGGGGGCCAAATGCAGGTTAGATGAGAGTGAGAGAGATTGGGATTGTTGTTAACCTACCACTCAAGAAGGATTATAAAAGGACAATGAACCGTGCCAAAGGGTGTTGTTGTTGTTTGTCTGCCATGATTTGTTGATAAATCATTTTTCATATTTTGATTCTCTTACACATACACTCAGTCATAAGCATCATCTCTGCCCCCAACCGCCTTACCTAAATGCATTTGAAATTGAAATCACAGAGTCACCAGACAGATTCCTCTTTAGATTCCAAACAACAAAAACGGGCAAATAGAAAGTCACAAAATATGGCTAGTAGTTTGGTAAATGATGATGAAGATAATGCCAGTAATGCAACGCGTAATACACAGCAGCAGCAACCCCAGATAGCAACAGGACAGACGAGTAATAACAATAATCAGCAGAGTAGTAATAATAACAACAATGGGGCAAGTGCCGCCAATACATCATCAGCCACCTCCACCAGCACCACCACTGCCACCACCACGAATAAAATGCATCCCAGTGAAGCCAAGGCGAAAAAGGAAAATCTACAACAAAGAAAATTGGAATTGGAAAAGTTGTTAAATGAGAAAAATTGGCTGCTACAGCAGTTGCAAAAACAGGAGACCGAAATTCTAAATGGCAATTTTGAATATATGAATTTCAATGATTTCCTGCATAGCCTTAATGCCCAATATAAACAGGAACAGGCCACAACGGAATCTACCATTACGGGTGGTAGTGGAAGTATTGGTGGCCCCGATGAGGCAATTCTTCGCCGCAAACCTTTGATGGCCAAAGAAAATCAACAACATCACAATGTGTTGCATCGACGACAATCGGAAATTTCCAATCGTTCATCGGAATATGACAATTATCCGCATCAGGATAACTTATCAACACATTCAGAGGGTGCTGCTAGTGGTGGTGGCGGTGGGGCAAGAGGGGCCTCGGGATCTTCTGCTGCGGCCATGACAATGCAACATGCCCAACAGGCCCAGCAGCAATACAATGCCAAATCGGCATTGAAAAAACGTTCAGCCACAGTGGCAGGTACCACAACCCAACAAACGGCAGCGGCCGCCGCAGCCAGCAATTTACAAATGTTGAGACAGCAGCAACATATGGAACAGCAGCTAATACAACAACATAATCTCTATAAACAACAACATCACTATCATCATCCCCAACAACATTTGTTCAAGCAGCACATTGAACATCATCAGGTGTTGATGCCACATTTACAATATGCCACACAGAAATTTTATTATACCACACTGCAGCCGACAACACAGCCCAGTACATCATCATCAGCTGGTTCCTCGGCACAACAGCAGCAACAACAACACCAAGTTGGTCAACCACAACAAAAAACGGTGCAGCAGCAGTTGCATCAACAGCAACAACAATATGGTCGCTATATTAAATCCAATCAGTTGCCACAGGCCCAAGTCCAGCAGCAGCAGCTTCCACAGCATCATCATGCTCAGCAGCAATCGCCAAATCACTCACAACAACACCACATGAACTACAACCCTCAAAATTCCAGCAGCTCAAATGCCAATCATCAGCATCACCATCAGCAACAACAGCAGCAACAATTACTTCTAACACCCCCTGGCCATGGAACAATTGCTGCTGCCTCCTCACATATGGACAACATTTCTTTGTATTCGTTAAATTCCAACAATGTGGCCACCTTGCATAGACAGGCCCAGCAACAACAACCCGTCATTGTGCAATGTGATAAATATTATCTCTCACCCACCACCCATCATGTGTCCCACAATGATGGTGGGGGATTCATTAAGTCCAGTCAAAATATTAAAGAATATATATCGCCCATGAATTCGCCGCAGCAACAACAACACCACCAAATGGGAACCACCAACGTTCGTGATAAAAGGTTAGCTTCTCAGACAAATCTTTCCCAGCGTGTTAATACACCATCCATAGATGCCATATCACTGGCACCATCCTATGTGTCCATGGAGACAGTGGATTATATGACAATACCCACATCACAACAGCAACAACGATGGAAATCACAATCCAATTTACCTCCACCGGGAACAACTTCAGCTTCATCCGACTTGAAATCCTATTCCAGTGATATGTTGAACAACAACAGCAGCAGTACCAATCAATATTACAACAGCAGCAACACCCTGCAATCCAATTCCAATGCTGCCCAACAACATCCTCCACATGTTACCCAAGTGAAACCATTTAAACCTCTCGATGATATTTCCATAAATTCCGGCTACTCCACAGAGACACAAAAGAAAACGAAATCCAAACAATGGCTTGAATCATCTCTAGATGGTCCGGTGATAAGACAAACCCCCCAACATCATACCCACAACAGCGGAGAAGAAAATTACCACCCCGATCACAATAGCAATATCAGCTCTTCACAACATCCACCCCGCTCCAAACTCTCCTCACACTCTTTGAATACCTCACGACATTATTCAATGTCAGCGGCGGCGGGTGCGGCGTCGTCATCTTCACACTCTCCCCTTGCCCATACAGCACAGGCGGCAAAATTAAGTCAATCCACCTCGTATCTAAATCAAATGGATGTTACCGCAGGTTTAACAAATAATTCCCCAACACCCGCTCCCTCAATATCACAAGCCTATAATATAGAAATTGTCTCACCACAAACTCCCATGGCATATAAATTTTTACCCGTCTCTACGGCGGGTAATACAAATAAGCCACCGGCTAGACCACCGCTCTATATCAATGCTACACCCCAAAATATTTCTGCATCTCCTACCACTGGGTTGTTAAGTGGTGTTGCAGGCTCCTCAGCTTCAGCGTTATCGCCAGATATTCGTGTTGAATCACCAAAAAATGTCACAGTTGTCCAACCGGCCACATTTCAACCTTACAAAGAGGTTACCAAGCCATTTGAAATGTCGGATTTTTATAAATATTCGACTAAATATCGCCAAAAGGAGAATAACAATAATAGTCAGGTGGATAATTGAGGAAGAGGAAGACTTTATATGAAAGGAAAACATAATATTATGGAGAAAGGGTTAGGTGATATGTTAGGGTTTCTATTTCTCATTAGGGAAATGGAAGTCACTTCAATCAGAGACCATGAAACCATTGTTTTTATCCAGGTTAGATAAGTTAATGGCAAAGCTATTAGAAGTAGGTCACCTGACATCCATATAAAACCCAAATTAGGTCTGTAATTTTAATGTTGATGTGGGATTTTATAAATATTCAGAAAGAAGGAGGAGGAATTCAGATAAAAATATGAAGGCGATTGGGTATAGCATTGGGTTCTAAACAATGCAGTAAGGTCGAATTCATTCATTGGCCGTGTGAGACATGTTTCTTATGGTGGAACTCACAGTCGAGGAAACTTAATGTAGAAGGTGCGCTAGAATAATGGATCTTCTACTGACAACAATTTAAGAGCCGATTAAATGTGTATTTGTAACAGAAAAAAATGAGCCTCCTTATTAGGTCAGGATTTAGATTTGTGATTATCAAGAACTAGTTAATTGTAGTGATCATGGGAAAATGACACTGTGAGATAACCATTGTTAGACCTGTTATACCAATTCATTAAAAGTGGAAAATTTAACCACAATCATGCATGTCTTTGATTACGGGAAGAAGGTTATCCCATACTCACAAGCCATAAACACATTTTGCTCATCCTTAAAGTTAACTACTGGACCAAGACAGAAAGAAAAAAAATTGTTTGAAGAGGTGAGTTCGGAGGCATTCGGCGCTGGTAGAAATATTCGAGAAGCAACTCTAGTTCCCTTCACTTCGACAGTTTTGGAATATTTTGGATTATTGAAAAGTTTTGTTATTCAAATATTTTCATTTTTAAAAAAAATAGTACCAAATAATGTTTTAGAACTTTTGGTACAAAATAAATTCTGTGTAATTTTAGTACAAAATGCGTTAATATTAAAAAAAAATGTACAAAAAACATTTTAGGTCAATGCTTAACAAGTTCTAATATAGTACTAAAACAATAAAAAAGTTAGTACTAAAAATATTTTTTGCAAAAAAGTTGCTCCAGAAATGTACACAAATATTCCTCAATATTTATTTTTTGAACAAATACATAAGCATTAGTAATAAAATTTGTTCAGAAATGTACTAAAATATTCCTCAATATTTATAACAATAAAAAATTTAGTACTAAAAATATTTTTACAAAAAAAAGTTTGTACTAAAAATATTTTTTACAAAAAGTTTGTGCTAAAATATTTAAAAAAACACACTACAAATGACTTCTTTCTCCAATTATACAATAGTTATTTGATAAAAATATATGTCGGCTATACCCAGTTCCTTCCCCTCAGATTCTTCAAGCATGTATTGATTAATACCTCGTAATTTTTTTTTTAATTTTATTTATAAAATATTTTTTTTACAAAAAAAGTTTGTGCTAAAATATTTAAAAAAACACACTACAAATGACTTCTTCCTCCAATTATACAATAGCTATTTGTTTAAAATATATGTCGACTATACCCAGTTCCTTCCCCTCAGATTCTTCAAGCATGCATTGATTAATACCTCGTCAATTTTTTTTAATTTTATTTATATCCACCCCTTTAAAATGACAGTTGCAACTAATTTAAAATTTAATATCTTAATCTTATATTTAATTATAAATTTAATATTTTTAAATTTATTATTTTTTTTTAATTATTTCCAAATTTTATTCCATTATATTCATAAATCTGTGTACGTTTAAAAATTTACTGTTAATTGTGTTAAATGTTACAATTAAATATGTATGTTTTTATTGTATTCGTTATTTATGTATTTGTTTTATTTTCAAAATTTTCAATATGTTAAACCGGATTTTAACATCACTTGAGATTATATGTTCAATACTTCAACTTTACATAGCACCACAGACGTTTGTATTTCAGAATAGCTTATTTTTTTAATACATTTCTTCCTCCATCTATTACCACCTCAATATCCAATATAGTTTTCAATAGCTTCCTCCAAGTTAATCTAACCCAAAACTATAGGACTCTCCCTTGAGACATATCTATAAAGGCTGATTCGTCTAGTTCTAATTCGTCAATTCTTCTAAACCACAGACGTTTCAATTTGACAACTTCTTAGTTTTTTTAAATAGATTTCTTTATTCATCTATTGTCTCCTCAAGATCCAATATAGTTTCACACAGCTTCCTCCAATCTAATCTAACCCCAAACTATAGGAGTCTCCCTTGTGACATTTCTATAAAGGCTGATTCGTCTAGTTCTAGTTCATCAAGTCTCCTTTTTTCATATTTTTCAATATTTTTGTAAGTAGATTTTGTATGAGAAATCGTTTCCAAAGGGAACGATTATTTAATGCCAAATCTGTTTCTAATTTAATTTCTATGTTTATTTATAATTAATGTAAAAAATGTAAATCTTTTAAAAGAAAATATTATTTTTTTACTTGACAATGAAATTGTATTTAAAAATTTTTAATTATTAACTTTTAAGATTATATTTGTTTTTTTTATTTTTTTTTTGTAATTTAATTGTTATAGCAAACGAAAAATGAAAAGCGTAGCTTTAAGTTGTTTTATATTTAAAAATAGATATTAAAATTTGTATTTTTTATCAAATAGGGGTTGTTATGGAATTTGTTATAGTTTCGAAATTGATTTACTTTTAAAACTATTTATAGGCTCCTCAATATGAATAGAAATTCAGACAGCAGAATAAACTGTGGTTCTAAAGTGGGCCCCAATTTAAATTTTTATTTTAATTAAAAAATTATTTTTTTATAACAACCTTTTCAGTATATTACAATTTATTGTTAAGGAATCCATTTGGCCATCTGATCATTCATTTTCTATTCATACTGTGGGCTCAATAATAAGAATTTGTTGACTTATAAATTCTTTTTCCAATATCAAGTTCTATAACAACCCCAAAGCCGTTTTTTCGTCATCCATCTCCTCCGTAATTGACTTGCCTGCCTCCCTCTGACCCAAAATAAATATTTTTTGTTCAAATACTTGTGATTTTTAATTAAAAACAAAAATATCCTGCTCAACAATGCCTACAAACAAATACCAGTGTCTTATTATAAAAAAACATAAACAATAACAACAACAACAACTATTAACTTTTAACTGTATAACAAAAAACAAAAAGGACTCCCCAAAGGTGATCTCTAAACACTAAGGCGCCTTATAAAACTACTACTACTAATAATAATGATATTTTTTATATACATAAAAAATTTTATATACATATAAGCAATTTTTATATATATGTAATGCTCAAATGTTTTGCCAAATTTTTTATATATATACATAAATGTAATGTGTGTTATTTTTTATAATATATTTTTTTGTAATATTCTTTTTTGTATTAATATTTGCTTAGACAATAATATTTGCATGTAATAAATCTAAATATTAGTTATATATAAAAATATTAAAATGTTAATTTATAAACAAAAAAAAATGTTTTTATATATGTATACAATATTTTTTTATAGCAAATTTTTATGCTAAACTAAAAGTTATAAAAAAAGAAAATTAAACTATTACAGTTGTATATTATTTTTATATGTAAACCATTTTTTATACAATAAAGAAACAAAAGATTTTTGTATATTACAATAAGTTAGTAGTCATTTTTGAAACTAAGTTCCAATCTCTTATAAATAGTTAACACTACAAACCGGCATATATCCACAAAAACCGAGAGATTTTTTTTTTAAGTTTCCAATGAGAATTGTACACCGATTCAATAAAATATAACGATCCTATCGGTAACTTGTAACTTCGAGGCAAATAAATTCTGCAAATGTAAAATATTGTACGAATTTATCTTGATATCGCTTTTAATTTGAAAAAAATGTTATACCTAAGCATTGCACATACAAAACGGAACCGTCCTTTTATATAGACGGTATATTAATTTTGTTTTTCCGTTTGTAACTCATTCAAATAATCATTTCCGACCCTACGATTCAAACATATTCGTCTGTCCGTCTGTTTTAATCACTCCAACATCTAAACGAATTGAGATGATAAAAAATGCTAGATTTTGTTTAAAAAGTGCTACAAAATGAAAAAAAGTGCCAATAAAAGTGCTAAAAATTGTATAAGGGAAAATAGTAGAATCGGCTTTAATTTGATATTTTTGATTCTCATTAGGTTTCCATACTAAAACAGGACTATTAACATGAAATTGGATGAAATAAAATATGTGATATTTATTTAAATGTGAATCTACCTAGATCTATCCATAAAGTATGTAAATCGACTTTAAACAAATATAAATAGGTCATCCGTTGGGCTATTTCTGTACTTCTAGAAAACGCAACTACGTAATTCTATCCTCAATTTTGTAAGTTGTGAAAAATTTGATGTCAATCTGACTAACATGAGGAGTGTGATGCCCAATTTACTTGAAATCTGGCGAAAATATATATGAAAGCTATATCCAAATATGAAGCGATTTTAAACAAACTTGTCACAGGTTAGGCAGACATCACTCTAGGCTCAATTCAGTACGTTATGCCAAATTTCGTGCAAATCGAAAGATATATAGCGACTTTGGTGTACCATTTACATGAAATCGGACGAAACTATATATGGGAGCTATATAGAAATCTGGACCGATTTTCTCGAATCTTGGCAGACATCACTCTAGGCTAAATTCAGTACGTTATGCCAAATTTCGTGCAAATCGAAGGATATATAGGGATTTTGGTGTACCATTTATATGAAATCGGACGAAACTATATATGGGAGCTATATCTAAATCAGGTCCGATTTTCACGAAAATTGGCAGACATCATTCTAGGCTTAATTTAGTACGTTATGCCAAATTTCGTGCAAATCGAAAGATATATAGGGACTTTAGGGCACCATTTACATTAAATCGGACGAAACCATATATGGGAGCTATATCTAAATCTGGACCGATTTTCTCGAAATTTGTCAGACATCACTCTAGGCTTAATTCAGTACGATATGCCA